GCCGCAGTGGCCTGCAACCTGAGAACGTTGCCGCCGAAGTTTGCAGGGAATGTTCAGGCCAGCAGTGGTCTACAAGTCCTAGGGGAAAAGGACGAGGCACTGGTTAGAGCCCACACGTTGAAGAAGAAATGTCAATGCACTGCGGAGGCTGCATGTCTGAACGGGGGCACCCCACAAAGCTTGCACCTAGCCCGTAATTTTTCATGGCCTGCCCGGGAGGTTCAGTAGATCTTCATCAAGGTGGCTTACAAGCTGCGGGGCATAAATGCCCAACACACACATTGAGCACGACCACGAGCAACGCCCTTGCCTGTCGCAGTCGGGTCCTGAGGGAAGGCATTACTCCTACACTAGAAGACCAAACGAGATTCAGAATCATGCTCCTGGATATGAAGCGCGTGCACTGCCGCTGCTTGACCCACTCCGTCTTGAGACATATGCCTGGATGAAACCAGTTAGATTCTTGTGAACTTGCACTAACACTGCTGGAGGAGGGTGAGCTGGAACATGCACTAGGTGATGCAGGGCAGGACGCGTCTGCTGCGAGCGGCGCAGCCGGCCACTGCTGAAAAGGTTAGCCACCGGCAACGCGGCGGGAACATCAGGCCACCCAAAGAACTCTGAGGCCAGCGGAAAAGCCTCGAGTTTCCTCGCGAACTGGGTCTGAACACAGCTCGAATTACTCGGCCTTTGGCCCTCATGCTTGCAAGCACATGCTCGCCCAAGTAATGGGTTTACATGAGGTCTTGCTTGACGGCGCGTGACGCAGCGCCTGCCGCCCCGGACGCAAACTCCACCCAGGATCCAATGGCTTGACCCTCCAAGCACTTGTAGGCAGGAATCTGCGAAGACGCTTGAAGGTCGCCGCTGTGGCTGAGGCAGACGACAGTCCACGCCTGCACAGTGCACCCCGGAAGCCGGAAGCTGTCCAAGAATGTTGGCCCACTGGGCTTCCTATCCACGAGAGAGGGGCTCGGCTCGGACAGCTGCCACAAGTCCTCCCCGGAAAGGTGAGTTCCCGGCCAGAGGAAAGGGGTGTCAGGCAAGAAGTCTGTGGGGTAGAAATCGCGAAGCCCCTTGACGAGGTCGACACCACAAAGCTTAAGAGGGGAAATGACCCAATTAGTTAGCCTGTTTCTTCCACGACTTGCCCTGGCTGCACTGAATCTCCAGCCAAAGGCCAAGACCATGATCCTGGACTTATGGAAGCTCGCGAAGCGAGTACAAGAGACGGCTGCCCTCAAATGAACAGCAACAGCATCTGAGGGGCATCGGTCAGCTCGGCATAAATGCGGACGAAAGTGAGGAACGCGCTCGGTTGCCTGTCTGGAAGTATGGCCATTGCCGTGAAAGCGATAAAGCTTCACCATTAAATGCTCAATTCGCTAAGCCATCGTGAAGATTGAAACACCGCACTTGCGGCGACACGCCTCTCTGTGAAAATTGCCTGTCCTGGGCAAAAGCGGACAAGCGGCGCAACGTGGCTGTGAGGGCTGCCACCCTACGAATCGAGAGGCGAGATGTGCTGACCATCGCGACACTGGCTGCATGCACTACTGCGGCTTCATCACGCATATCAAACAGGCCCAAATCCGAGATATCCAAAAAAAATCTCACGGGCCAAGCGGAACAGAGCTTGAATCTTCAGCTGCTTTCTCTGCCCAAGGCGTGACCTCCGGACTCCTGGATGGTCAGCACTCGCACCTCCTGCGGGGCGTGACGATGCGGGATCAGAGGTCTGGTTCTGGCGCTGGATTGTACTGCGGCCGTCCCCGAAGGTCTCTTACGGGCAGTGCCTACGGGCACTGGCGATGACCTCTCCTGAACAAGGACAGAAACCTGTTGGCGCATGGAGTTTGCTGGCTGCTCTGCAGCAAGCCTCCCTATACAGTTGCGCCACGTCGAGCGCCAGGTCTGCGGAGAGGCCTTGTCCACGCCCTCGCGACCACTCGACTTCAATTGCAACGAGGGAAGTCCACATCAACCGGATGTCTTGCCAAACTGCATTCCCAGACGGCAAACCAGGTGCGCACTGCTGCGATGTGGTCAGACAGCAGGTCACGCAAGTCACCATCCATTGCACACGCGCAAAGTTTGGGGCCTGTGACCTTTCAGCTGAGTACAGCAACACGGAATCACACAGAAATTCACAGAATTTCATAGAAGCGAAGTTGAAGACTGAGTAGCATTCATGACCTTCTGAGACACAAGCATAAGAAATGGCAGATGATGGGTAATGCCCGGCCTATGCTGACGTAACAGCGGCCACAACCGTCACGAGCCAAGCTGGGAAGCTTGGATGTCTGGGAGTCATGGCTGTCCCCAAATCCTTGGTTCTGTGGGGACGAGCATCAGCGATTTCCCCTGGCAGAACGCCTGATCATCCAGGCACTCTGGGAACTATATACCCAACGCACGCACCATTTCAGGCCCACCCCCGCAGAGCCCACTTCCCAGCTTCACACACTTTGGGTTCCTCTCGCAAAGGGCTTTCCTGATAACATCTACACCACGGTCCTAGGTTGGCGCCCACATCCACAACGATGTCCCCTTGGCTTCCGGACGCACACAAGCCTTTGCCTCTGCTGAAGTGCTATGCCAAGTAGCCAGGGCGCAAAAGTGCCTGCATCTGGTAGTTTTGCATGGGGTTCATCGTGCCCATTTGCATGATGCCATGAGCCTTAGAACATGTCACCAGTTCTGGTCTCCTGGTTGCCCGATTCTCAGACCCGGGCAATGTTGGTGTCGTAGAAAGGTAGCACGAAAGCGTGCAGCGGCGTTTTTGGCAACACCTGTGGATTTTATCTCGGGTACAAGGCGGATCAGATGGTTGACCTGAAATGGAACAGGACTTGCCTCGGTGTTTGTAGAACTATGCAGCTCCGCAGTCACAGAGCCTGGGCCACCTGGTTCCTGCCAGAATGTCAACTTTCAAGCCGGTGCGTGTACCATACCAACCTACCGTGCCCACCATCAGTCTCCTGGTACGCAGACTGCTGCACTGCATTTCCAGCTCCCTTCCATTGCTCCTAGCAGGAACGGTCGATCGCAAAGGAGGCACCACTTTGATGAACAAGCACTCTTGCATCCTCTATTTCAGGTGGCACGGAAATTGCGGGATCCCGGAAGTTGTAGACCAACCTTGGCTGAACCGCGCAGCTGGCCTCACACATGCAAATGCAAGGATAACGCATTATCCAAGATGCGAAACAGGCCAGTGCTGGCCCACTACAGCGATGCCTTTGGCCTGTCAGGTCGAGTCCGGTTGAGTAGTGGCCGAAGCCGTCCACTTTTCATCGACTACTTTGACACTTGAATGGATTCACTTTCAATGCGTTTTCTACAGCACTATGCTTGTGAACCGAGACGGTCGAAACTATGGGCTCTCCACACTCTTCGGGCTTTGCATAGCAGCATAGCTCCGTTGAATTCGAGAATGCCTGCCTCATCGGTGCCGCGAAGCATCTCGCCACACCTTGTCTGGAGAAAGGCTAAAGCCCGACAGTTGCTAGGTGCTGAACCCCGTCAGACTTCTTTTGAAATACAGAGGTGGAAGATGCAGATGCAACGACGAGCCCTAACAGCAAGCAACGCTCACTGGGCTTGCCTGTTGTAGATGGTGTGATTCAGATCCGATTCCGGAGCACCGCCGTTTGCAGACAGCAGGAACTCCTTGCAGCCCGACGTTGTGGTGGGCATGGTCACCTTGTCTAGACACGTAGTCCCCCTGCAACTGTACAGCACCCGAGTGTACATTGCTGAGCTGGCAGCGTTGGAGGGCATGGCATTATGTTCCCCAACCTTGCAGAAGCCAGTGCGAGCTCCCAAAACGAGGCAACTTCTGTTCTGATGCCACGGGGCAGTCAAGTTTTTGGCGCGCGCTCTGTCTTCCTTGAGGCTCGGAAACAGCATCACAAGAAAGTCGCTTTGCTGGGGCATAGCATTCGAAAAAGCTTCGAGCACGCGTGCAAACCAGCCAGATTTCTCGCCGATCTCTGGCCAGTTCCGCATGTGGTAGCATCCGTCACACCCACCCCCAATCGGTGCCTCGAAGTTGGTTGCTAGTGGGTGCGGATCTTGCTTGCTGTGCCTGCATGCCAAGATGCACAAACCTGCCAGGACACGCAGTCGGGATTCGCCAGACACTGCTGGTCGCAGACCTGACCGCTCTTGGTGCTGCCACTGGGCCGCAGCAGTGTTCTACTAGCACCCTCCCTTCTCGTTCGTTTCCACCATGTTCACTACAACTACGCCTCCTCTTGCTTCTGCTGCTTCCACTCATGCTACATGTACGGTCAGACGCCCCACCCACACAATCACCATCCTATCCCATTCCCGCCCTGGCCTCTGGCGTCAGGTCTTGTGCCCTCCCGATCATCGATTTTGCAATCTGTCGGTAATCGAAGCCGCGATTTGCCACTTCCTGGCAGCGAGACTCAACTGCTGTGGCCATGGGGCCGCTCACCCACGGCATCAGACAGCATTGCCTGAACCTTTACTCCTTCACGCTTCTCCACCCTTTACACAACACCAAAAACCTTCCCTACCTCAGCACACAAGCATAGGCCAGCGTTTGCAATTACCTGACTGTCTTATGCACTAGCAAGCATTAGTGAGACAAGCATCGCTCAGCAGCAGCCCCAGGACAGTGTCCCCACATGCCAGGGCTCCCAGGAGACTGCGCTGAAGCGCAGTCATAACAGTGTGAGTGCTTAGGTGCACCAAAGGCTTCTGCTGTCTGCAACTTGAAGTAAGATGCGGTTCAACTTTGTGTGAGACGAGGCTGACGGTGACATGCGTCAGTACTGTCTGGGTCAGCGTTTGCGAGAGCCATGAGGATTATCTGTCCAATCGTTCAATGTCAAACGGCATGAAACGATGCAGAGTCTCTAGCCTGCTTTCAGCCAATGGCTCTTGGGTACAGCGCTGCCAAATTGATACTGGGAAAACTCATGTGTTGGATGAAACGCTCCCAACCCTCCCATCATGCGGCATGACACCTCGGCACCAAAGCCATGTCCAGCAGGCCCGCGGCGTTTGCCTGCCATTTGCCGTGCTGCCCTGCCTTTTGCAGAACGTGCCAGCGTGCCTGCAAAGCCTCGCTTGCGGACCGGCTAGGTTGAGCCAGGAAAGGATGCCGCCAGGCAAAACGAAAGTTAGCCGACATGAGATAGCTGCAATGTGCCCTGGTGCTGACAGTGTGAACTCTGGCATGCAAGACCTCTTTCACCGCTGCCCGGCTCCTTCGATGTTGATAGTGAGCGGCAGGGACCAGAAGGAAGACGGTACAGATAGGTATGGAATCATATGGAATCATTCAGCGGCAATGTTGCGACTTTTTTCCAAGTGAAGTGTACCTACTCCCAAGCTT